CTCTACCACTGAGCCAACTGCTAAGGGGTATATTTTATTCATTATGTACAGTTGACTCACTTTCTTGCCTGGATGCCATGTAGCATAGGAGTAAAAGCATGGGCTCTCCAAAATCAGATTGCCTAGGTGGAATACAGTGGGGTCTTGGCCTTGTTACTTAACCTCAGCTTCCTCCTCTGGAAAGTGGGGATAATTACAGAACCTGCCTCATAGGGTTATTGTGAAGATTGAGACTGCTCATTCACAGTAAACTCTTAATTAAGTTATAGTAAACTTAAGTATTTGCTGTTAATACTTGTAAGTCTAGGTTGTAATATTAATTGTTTAAGAAGTATCACTATCATCACTCCCCCCAAAAAACCTTCAATAATTGGGGTTATTTGGATTATTATAAAGAGTATTTTTATAAGGAGTATACTTTGATCCACTAGAGAAGTTTTCCCTTTCACATTTATGTCCTTAAATACATTTTCTGCTGGGAATTTTGTCAGTTGTTTTTAGAATAAACCAAGTGAGGTACCTTCTTGGAAGCAGTTATTGATTTATTCTAAAACCAATTTTGAACTTTTTTTTTTATTGTTGTTATTGGTCCTAGGGCCTGAATTCTGGGCCTAGGCACTGTCCCTCAGCTCTTTAGCTCAAGGCTAGTGCTCTACCACAGCGCCACTTCTGGCTTTTTCTGCTTATGTGGTGCTGAGGAATTGAACTCAGGGCCTCATGCATGCAGGGCAAGCACTCTACCACTGAGCCACCTTCCCAGCCCTAGTTTTGAGCTATTTGTTCCCTTGTATCTCCTCATGCTTACATGTTCTCTCAGTTACAAGCTTTTGGCTGTGTAATCTTATCTGTTGTCAAAGAAGTCTGGTTGGTTAGAAAGGAAGGGGGTATGTAGTAGTCTTTCACTTCAGGTGGTACAGCTAAGGTAAAAATAACAGGGAATCTTTTGTCAGATTGCCCTTCCCACACAAAGCAAATAGTTGCTGTAACTTCACTTCCTTTCTTTTTGTTAGATTTCTTAGAAAACAATAATCTTTGTTCCTTTCTGTATGGGAGCTTTCTAATGAGCATCAAGCAGGGGCTCAGTGGACTTGTTCTTAAAAGACTTGTTCTTAACCACTGGTTTAGGCCTGGAGAAGCCCAGGTTGGGGACTCTACTCTGAGAGCTTTATTTTACTTTCTAACAGAATATTTTCATATGATACATGTATTAGTTCCTTTTTTCTTTTCTTTTTTTTTTTTGGGGGGGGGTCCGGTCATGGGGCCTGAACTCTAGGCCTGGGCGCTGTCCCTCAGCTCTTCAGCTCAAGGCTAGCACTCTATCACTTGAGCCACAGCGCCACTTGCGGCTTTTTTTTCTTTTTGCTTATGTGGTGCTGAGGAAGCGAACCCAGGGCCTCAGGCATGCAAGGCAAGCGCTCTACCACTGAGCCACCTTGCCAGCCCTCGTTTTTTTTTTTATAGTAACAGAGCCAACACCAAATAGAGGTGGTAACCTCAGAAGCAGCTGTTGATTTTTGTGCATGTGGCACCTGCAGTGCTGAGCTACAGTGCGCCTAGCCCCAGCTTTGACACTTACATCTTCCTAGGGCAACGAACAGGCTTCTTAATAAATTGAACACAAATTATATGTCATGTTAGTTTCAAGGATTATAAATGAGCCTGGTGTGGTGGCTTACACCTAAAATCCTAGCTACTCAGGCTGAGATCTGGGAATCTCAGTTCAAAGCCAGCCCAGGCAGGAAAGTTCATGAGACTCTTCTCTCCAGTGAACCACCAAAAAGCCTTAAGCGGTACTGTCTCAACGTGGTAGAGCACTAACTTTGAGCACAAAAGCTCAGGGACAGTACCCAGGTCCTTAATTCAGCTCCGAAGATCTGCACGAAACAAAAGAAAAAAGATTGTAAATGGTGTGGTGGGATAGCAGGTGTCTGACGCCAAGTATACTTTGCTGTTGTAGAAGCTATGGTCCTGTGTGTGGGAAAGCCTGCACACAGGCCTGCGCCTTCTCATCACCCACGCTGACTCTCTCACTCCCAAGGGGCAATCACAGCAAAGGAGCTGTATACACTCATGATGGATGAAAACACCAGCCTGATTATAATGGATGCGCGAAGAACTCGGGACTACCAGCATTCCTGTATCTTAAATTCACTCAGTGTTCCTGAAGAAGCCATCAGTCCAGGGTAAGTCATTGTGTGATTAGATAATATGGCCTTTATAAAAATTGATGCGGGTTCTTTCTATGTTGCCCACACTGGCCTCAAACTTTCATTCTTCCTGCCACAGCAAGAAAAGTGATGCCTTGTATTTTATATAAATGGAATCATACAACCTGTGGTCTTTTTATGGCTAGCCTCTGATACAGTTTTGAGAGTCCTTTCCATTATTTTGTGTACTTGAGGTTTGTTTATTCTCATTGCTATGTGGTGGTATTGTAGTCTGTGAACACAGCATAATTTCCTGATTTTTAGACTTGACTGTTAACGTATTAGATATGGTGTTGTTTTCCCGTGGGTATAAGGATATATATTTTCTTTTTTTTGGGGGGGGGTCCAGTCGTAGGGCCTGAACTCTGGGCCTGGGCACTGTCCCTCAGCTCTTCAGCTCAAGGCTAGCTTTACTACTTGAGCCACAGCATCACTTCCG